GTCCTCAGTTCTGGGGGACACTTGGGCTATCCTCACTGTCTTTGATTAGGAGTCAGGGAGGACGGAGCTGTGTGCAGGTGTGTGCTCCTATGGCTGTATTGTGCGTGCCTACAGCTGTGCACACGGGGCTAAGTTGGTGACAGCTGATAGGCTCAGCAGAAGGCTGGGGGCAGGGCAGAAGCCCCCTAACACCTAATTGATCACCAACTTGCTCAAGGACACAGGAACAGAGGATCATTTTTTTTGGAGACAGAGTCTCAAGTTATTGCCCTGGGTAGAGTGCTGTGGTGTCACAGCTCACAGCAGCTTCAAACTCTTGGGCATAAGCAATTCTCTTGCCTCAGCTCCCAAGTAGCTGGGACTACAGGCTCCCACCACAATGCCTGGCTTTTTTGGGGGGAGGGTTGTAGTTGTCATTGTTGTTTGGCAGGCCCGGGCTGGATTCGAACCCGCCAGCTCTGGTGTATGTGGCTGGTGCCTTAGCTGCTGAGCTACAGGTGCCAAGCCAGGAACAGAGGATCTTACCTATGCCAGAGGCTTTGCATCAGGGTAACCCTCATACCAACCCTAAGAGGGAGAAACCTCCTTCCCACTGCACAATGGGTAAATTGAGAGTCTCAGGGAAGGGACCAGTCCAAGACAGTGCCACAAGTCAGGGGTGGGGTTGGGGTGAAATCCAGGACAGTGACACAGGGGCCTATGGATTCTGCTGCACCCTCTGGGGCCACTTTGAGTCCTGGGACAGGGGTGGGATGTGCACACACCAACTTGCAACCCCCTAAGTAGACAGCTGCACACACCCCACACAGACCCACAGTCGCAGCATTGTGCAGACAGGCAGACACAGAACACGCATGGCACAGATCCTCCAAAATAGCAACAATGCCAAAGTCTTTCCTATCCAGCAGGGGGAGTATCTAGTTTATTCTGATGGCTGATTTGTCTTGCTCACCTTGAGCTTGAGCTTCTGTTAAATGTGCATATGGGTGCTGGGCATCTGGTGGTGCAGAGAGGGAAGCGGGGAGCAGACCAGCTGCAGCTGTGCCATGTGTGCCCAGGGGAGTGGACAGGGGTGTGTGTGACGGTGTGTGTGTGTAAAGGTGAGCATGTGTGGTGGTGCATGTGTATGATGGTGCGTGTGTGGTGGTGCCTCTGTGGTAGTGCCCGTGTGTGGAGGTGCATGTGCGTGGTGGGCATGTGTGGTGGTGTGTGCCTGGTGGTGCGTGTTGGAGGTGGTGGAGAGGAGTCTGGGAAGGCCTCCTGGAGAAGCGCACACTCCACTCTGCCTTCCCACACTGGCCCATCAGTGCGCCCCTGCCGTGCAGGAGAAAGCCTCGGGACTACACCATCAAGGTGCACATGAACCTGCTGCTGGCCGTCTTCCTGCTGGACGTGAGCTTCCTGCTCAGCGAGCCGGTGGCCCTGATGGGCTCCAGGGCTGCCTGCCACACCAGTGCCATCTTCCTGCACTTCTCCCTGCTTGCCTGCCTCTCCTGGATGGGCCTCGAGGGCTACAACCTCTACCGCCTTGTGGTCGAGGTCTTCGGCACCTACGTCCCTGGCTACCTGCTCAAGCTGAGCGTTGTGGGCTGGGGTAAGTGAGCTGGGGTGACGGTCTCTTCCTGGCACAGGATCGGAGTATTAGTGGGCCCCTCAGACTCTCCTCTCCCACTTGGCTCTGTCCAAAATGCAGGTACCTTGTCTGCTTCTCCACCGATCTTTCTGACTCCCCCACTGCTGCCCCCACTCATCCTCAGGTGTCCCTCACCTTGGCTGGGTCAAGGTCCCCCTTACAAAGATGAAGTGATGACCCCTGTCCCTAAGAGACACTTCCATTCTCCATATCAATCGCATTAATCCCATTAAAAGTGGGATTCGTGAGCCGTGTATGGACGTGCAGGTTGTGCACTACTCAAAGGCACCTCCCTGGGAGGTCAATGGGGCTGAAATCCAGTCTCCTCCACTCACCTAATTTACTCAGGTTGGCAGTGGCCCTGCCTGGGAAGCCTCCTGAACCTCAGGTAACAGATTCCCTGTGGCTTTGGCAATAGTCCAGTTCACCTACGGCCCAGACCTCTCATGTCAGACCCAGAGCTCAGGGGCGCTCACACCAGTCCTTTTTGGACATTGCACAGACCCCTACCTCCACATGTCCCTAACCCCAACCTGCCACTCCTCCTGTGTTTCTCCTCCTTCGTTAACTCCCCTTGTTTGCAGGAAATGCCTTCAGTGCTGTCTGTCAGGACCCAGGTGTTTGACAGTGAACAGCCCCCCACCCCCAGCCTTCAACCTCTACCTAAAGGATGAGGTCAAGGCCGAATGTAGACAGACCCTCACGGCAGCCCTTCCCATCTCTCCTGTAATATGGCTTCTCAGCAGGGAGCTGCAGACCTTTCTGTTGGGGGCCACCAGGATGGGGAGGGGGCCAGGGCCACTTTAGAAGAGGTGAATTCCCCCTATAGGGAACCCAAACTGGAATTCAGGAGCCCAGGCCTGAGAGGGGGCCTCACCCTCCAGCCCCGCCTTAGGCCAGGGAATGGGCAGGCCTCAGAGGGTGGGGGATAGTACTGTAAGCTTTGCTTCCCTCAGGGTTCCCCATCTTCCTGGTGACACTGGTGGCACTGGTGGACATAGACAACTACGGCCCCATCATTCTGGCTGTGCACAAGACTCCTGAGAGTGTCATCTACCCTTCCATGTGAGTGGCTATGTGTGTGTGGGCACAGGAATGTTGACCTCTGGGTATGGAGGTCAGAGAGCAGCCTCGGTCCAGGGCATGCTGGCCAGGAGCCACCTGGGTTCCAGTCCTCTGAGGTATTGGCAGTGGCTGGAGGCTCAGAGAAGGCTCGTCTAAGGCTCGTGGAGGTCATGGAGAGTAAGAAATGGCCCAGATCTGCTAGTCACTCTCCAGGTGACCTTGCATAGCTCCTGGCCCTTCCCTGAGCCTCAGTTTCCTCGTTTGTGAATGGCGGTACGGACCGGAGCAGAGAAGCCCCGCTGTGTTCCTTGGCTGCCCTCCTCGGTCTCCTCATGCAGATGAAAACACTAAAGCTCAGAGAAGGCAGGGACACACTCTCGGCCAGGCATCCTCAAACTACGGCCCATGGGCCACATGCAGCCCACCTAGGACGTTTATCCGGCCTGCTGGGTGTTTTTGCCACCACTGCCTGTCCTGCTTAGCAGCTGACTTGTCCTGGGGCCCACAGTCTGGCCCTCTAATGGTTTGAGGGACAGTGAACTGGCCCCCTGTTTAAAAAGTTTGAGGACCCCTGCTCTTGGCCACAGTGGGTGTCAGTGCATTGCTCAAAGACAGGGAATGAGTGGAGCTAAAATCTAGTCCTCTTCCATATGCCTAATTTGTGCGGGCTGGCAATGGCCCTGCTCATCCCTCTGAACGTAGACAGCAGCCAGGGCTCCTTTGAACTCTAGGCTGGGAAGGAATCTTTGCCATTAGCTTGGTGTTTTGAAATTTTCAACCCTTCACATCATGACCCAGTGATTTTTGACCTTAGATACCATCTGTATTATTATTTACTTGATATTTTTCTTTAAATTATCTGACTTGTTAATTTAAATGTATTTTTTTAAATTACATCAATACTATAACTAGAAAACAAGCAGCCCTTGCCATAAGCAACACGTAATCTTGAAAAAAAATCTGGTGACAACTGCAATGGCCCAGGAAATGCTGCCCCAGCCTGGCTATATGCTAAGTCCACATGTCCTTGCCCACAGGTGCTGGATCCGGGACTCCTTGGTCAGCTACATCACCAACCTGGGCCTCTTCAGCCTGGTGTTTCTGTTCAACATGGCCATGCTGGGCACAATGGTGGTGCAGATTCTGCGGCTGCGCCCACACACCCAAAAGTGGTCTCATGTGCTGACGCTGCTGGGCCTCAGTCTGGTCCTTGGTCTGCCATGGGCCTTGGTCTTCTTCTCTTTTGCTTCTGGCACTTTCCAGCTTGTTGTCCTCTACCTCTTCAGCATCATCACCTCCTTCCAAGGTAGGTATGAAGAACACCATG